GAATATTAGAGAGAGAAAGGACCTTAGAGAGCAAATCTATTTTGCAGATTAAGAAACTGAGTCACCTATAAGTTAAATGACTTGTCCAAAATCACACAGATAATAAGGGGCAGAATTTGAACCTGGGCCTCATGACCTTACAGCTAGTGCTCTTACCACTGAGAGAAATGATTATTTCTCTCTCACATTAATAACTAAGGTTCCCCCCCCCCTTTTCTATTTCCTCTTTCTTATTGAGCTAGCATCTGAAGGACATTGCTGATAATGAGATGAGATTTAACTTTATCCTCAATCTTATTCAGACCCCACCCAACTGGGCAAGTTTAGAGCTGATCAAAAGGTCCGGAGAGTTGAGTCTGGATGAACTCCAGCCCACTGGGTTCTACTCAGGCTCTGTCTAGATGGGCCCAGGCTGGGTCGGGGATGAGGGTTGGGGTTCTAGGAGTGAGAATGACCTAATCAAAGGCCCATTCTCCAGCTCCACCTTCATTAGAATGTTTGTACTTCTCATTAACTGTTAATCAATTAGAGGTCAGAAATACTCACTCTTTTTGGCTTGTAATTCATCGTTCTTTCCACTATGCCAGACAGTTCACTATTAAGAAGCTATCAGTCCTTTTTTTTTTTTTTAAAGGCAATTGGGGTTAAGTGACTTGCCCAGGGTCACACAGCTAGTAAGTGTCAAGTGTCTGGTTTGAGGCCAGATTTGAACTCAGATCCTCCTGACTCCAGGCCTGGTGCTCTATCCACTGCGTCACCTAGCTGCCAGGAATACTCACTCTTCCAAGGGCATATAGGTGTCAATAGGCTGTCATGATCCATTTTTGGATCATGAGAGAAGGCCAAATGACCATCCTTTTATTAATTATTCACTAGTGATAATTAATAAAAATGACTAATTCCCCAGAAATTATCTCTCCAACTTTTGATATGTCACACCACTGCACCATCATTTTGCAGAGGAAGAAACTGAGGTCAGGAGAGCTAAAATAGTTGGAATAACCTTAGGTATCACATTAACCTCAGTCACTCTACAGGGTCAGCTGGTCCAATCCCCTCACTTCACAGAAGCCAAAGCTGGGGCCTAGGGAGGGCAATGAATGTCCAAGTCTAAATTCAGATCCATCTGCTCCATCTAGAACCTTCTTGTTCATCTCTGACCCCCCCACACACAGTGGATATTCAATAAGTGGTGACTTTGGAAAATCATTTTTATTGAGATCTTTTGTTTTACCTCACCAGAATTTCTCCCAGTATCCCTTCACTCCCAGAGAACTATCCCATATAACAAATAATATGTTTTAAAGAAAAAGAAGCAAAACCAATCAATATATCCAAACCATCGATGATGTATGCAATGCTGCATACCCATGGACTGCCCCACCCCCCGCCCTGCCCCCACTTCTTCTCACTTTCGGTTGTTCCATGCTTGTCCTGTCTGCTGAAGTTGTTCTAGTCGTTGTGTACGTTGTCTTCTGGCCTCTGCTTCCTTGCCTCTGCATCAGTTCATGTAAGTCTCCTCACGCTTCTCTGTGTTCCTCACCCACATCCTTTCTTACTCTGCGGTGATATTCTGAGAATCACGTACCCCCATTTGTTTAGCCACGCCCAAGTCAATGGGCACAGATCACAAAAGGTGCTGCTATAAATATTTTGGAGTATGTGAGAACTTTCTACTTCTCTATGGATCCTTAGGGTATAATCTCGGGGTCCAAAAGGGACACTTTTTAGTCACTTGATTTACATAATTCCAAATTCCTTTCCAGAATGGTTGTGCTGAGTCACAGCTCCGCCAACAATGCACTTGTGTGCCTGTTTTTACAACCCCTCCCACATTGACTATTCCCATCTTTTGGCATTTTTTGCCAATTTGCTAGGTGTGACATGAAACCCCCGAGGTGCTTCAGCGTGCATTTCTCCCATTATTAGTGATGTGGAACGTTCTTTCCTATGGTTGTTAACACTTTGCAATTACTCCCTTGAGTTTGTCCGTTTGTATTTTTGGACCACTGATTTGAGCTTGGCAAGGCATCAGTAGTGACAGAACTAGGGGCCTAGAGATTCAAGAAGAAAGTAGACTGTGTCCCTGAATGTCCTGGGATTGGAAAGGGAAGGAAAGACACACATATAAACACTCTGAATACAAACCTCCTGCAGGCAGGCTCGTGGGGATCCAAGTGTTTAGAGCTACAAAAGCCCTCAGAGATCTAGTCCAACCCAATGGTTTTGTTCATGAGGAAACCTGGGAAGTCTAGAAGGAAAGGGGCAAAGCCAGGATGCTTCCAATCCAAAACTCTTCCCGGCTGCATTCTCTCCTGTTCCCCAGTGTGTTTCCCCAGGTTGGTGACAGGCCTCAGAGGAATCATCCTAAAGAGACCACAACTTGCCACCAAAAGATCTCTGAGTCCTGGGTCTGGATGACCATGACCACGTCCCATCTCCTTCAGTTTCCTCACTTGTAAAATGAGGAGAATGATGCTAGCCCCAGCACAGTGCACCGAACAGAGTCCTGGGAGCTACAGAGGTCACTTAAGGGTTGGACTAAGTGGTATCCAACTAAGGACCCTTCCAGTTCTAAATATGAGCCTTTGAGCCCTCATCAGCACCCACAGGTGCTGGTGGGCAGCCACAAGCTCTCATTTGAGCACCATTTGCCACCCCTGGGCCAGAGCACTGGAGAACACCAGGGTCAATTGTTTGATTTGACAGTGGGGGAAACTGAGGCTCAGAAAGGGTGTGGACTTACCCAGGGTCCCAGAGTCAGATTCAAGTCTCATGACTCCAAACTCAACGCCTGAAGATGGATCATGCCCATCCGTGGGTCCCTCCTCCTCACTAGCAGACTTTGTATTTGTGAGGGATGAAAAGTGAAGGGAAAGACGAGTGGGAAGGAGGAAGGGCAGAGGGAGAGGGGAATGAAAAGGAGGAAGTATAGATGGGGGAACAAACTGGTTCCATGTCAACTGGGACTTCCACATATCAAGGACATACCCTTTATTCCGCTCTCCACAGCAGCTGTTGAAGACCTTCTCTTCTCTCCTCAGGCCTGGCACCCTCTCACTAAGGACCTTTAACCTCCCTACTCTCTTGAGGAAATAGCCATTCAACATCCCTCCTCTCCCCCATGCTCCATGGCACAAGCTCTTGACATCACCCCCCACCCCAGCAGCCACTGGCTCCTCCTTTCCTTCAGGTTCTAGGTTCTAGTGAAGGGATGGGATGGCCATCCCACTTGGGCCTTTGTTCCTACGCCCTTCCATCACTTCAGGAAGCTTGCCTAATTGCATCTCTGTTTTCTTTCATTTTCAACCTAACTCTGGCTACTGGCACTTTCCCTGCTGCCCTCAGAAAAACCTCACTAGACCTTCCCACCCCCACAAACTCTCATTCTCTACTGAGCCTCCTTTAACAACAAACAGCCAGAAAGGCCTTGACTCTCATTTCCTCTACTGTCACTCACTTTCCAAGCTCTTGGGATCTGCTCTCTCATCCTACCACCTGAATCAAAGTCTCCCAAGTTGGCAGGCAGCGCTTCAGGACCAAAGCCAATGGCCTTTTCTCAATCCTCATCCTGTCCTCCTGCTTCTTCCTGCTCCCAGGCTACCTTTGCTGGCTCACTGTCCATGTCCCAGTCCTGAGGGGGAGGGTAGCCCCAGGTTCCATCCGAAGCATGGCCAAATATGGGTCATTTCCAACTATCTCTTACAAGCAGCCCAAAGCTACCTCCACAAGTGCCATTTTGGACTATCACAGTTCTCGTAATATATGCTGAATGTCCCCCCCTCGAGAGCAGGAAGAGAGGATTCTGACTTTGTCTCCAGATCCCTGGTCCCCAGCACATCATGGGGGTTAATAAATGCTATTTGACTGACCCAGTGTGGGTGTGCAGACTTTCCTTAGTAAGCCATTGCCTATGGCCCAAGCCTGGGAGTGATCGTACATCACTCCTCCCTGCCCCATCCCCCCCCCCACATGCACTCCACATGCACTCCACACACACAGACACACACAGACACGCACAGACATGCACAAACACACACATGCTGCCCCTCTGCAGCACCACTCCCCTCAAAAGTCAGACTTTCAGCTGAGAGAGCTCAGTTTATTGGGGGTGGGGCTTAGCAAGCCTCGGTTCTCTGGGGCCTCTTCCCGTCCTCCCTTCCCCAGGATGCTAGGTCAGGCTCCCTCCGCCAGGGGGTCCATGCAGGGTGGAGGGTGCAGGCAGGCCTTCTTCTCCTCCACCTTCCCCCTTTGGCCCTGCAGCTCGGAGCAGCGAGGCCTGGGGCTTCCCCAGAATGTCACGTTCTTCTTTCCCTGGCCTTCCACCATGGTCACCGTGGGCCTAGATCAGATATGGGCAATGGTTCTGAGCCCCCTAATCTTTATCAGCCTGAGCCCTAACTGTCCTTCCACCCTGGAGGTCATGAGCCCATGCCAGCTGGGCAGTACAGTGAGGCTCCTAGGCAGGCCCCAGCTTCTTGGCCCTGTTGCCCCAAGAAGGCCCCTCACCCTCTCCTCTCCTTGAGTCCCGAGCTCCCCTAGGAGGACCCCTTCCTCCTTCTTGAGGTGGGTCCCTCACTCACGGGTAAGCAGGCAACTTGGCAGTGCAGTGACGCTGTCGGGAACGGGTGGGAAAGGGCCCACAGGGGGGCATGCAGAGACCCCAGGGCCCCCAGGCTGCCCAGTAGCCATCCACTGAGGGAGAAAAAGGAGGACAGGGCACAGTGAGAACCTTGTAAGATAGGCCCGCCCATCCCCTCCAGGAAGGGGGCACTTACAGGGGCACAGGTGGATGTTGTAACAATGGCGAGTCTCCTGGAAGCGGCCTGTGCAACGCCGGCCATTGTGGAGCCGACCCTCACACACTCGAGAGCGCTGCTGCTGGCCTGGCTTATCCTGACACGCGATGCTGGAGATTGCGAGCCGGGTACAGGTCTCCCAGGCCCCCCAGGGACCCCAGTGACCATCAACTGGGCAAGGCTGGCCTGTGATACACAGGCCATCCCGGGTTGCATCTCCACCACAGGGCGCACCTCCATGCTGAGGTGGGGGGTTGTTGCACAGACGCTGTTCCCGGGTCCGACCCAGGCCACAGGTCACTGAGCAAGGGCTAGTAGGCCCCCAGGGGCCCCAGCCACCCTCCACTGTAGAGACAGGAGCAGAGAGGATAAGCCTAGACCCAGGGAGAAGGGGCAAGGTGGGGGGGTGGGGGGGACAGGAGGGAGAGGAAAATGATGGAAAAGCGGAGAAAATGATGGAAAAGAGGGGTGTGGGAAGGAAGGGCTGGGCCCAACCCTGAAGGACCCTAATTCCCTTCAGTACATACCAGGGCATGGTGGGAGGCTTTTACAACCGTGCTGCTCATAGGCCTGCCCAGAACAGGGGTTCCCTGGGGGCTGGACTGAGGGGGCCGGAGAAGAGCATGTTCTGGTTCTACGTTGGGTAGGGGCCTGGGGTCCTCCATGACAAGAGGCTGAGCAGGGTCCCCAAGGCCCCCAGGCTGCCCAGACCCCATGTACTGAAACAAAAAGGAGGGCGTCATGTAGAGCCTGTACTCCCCAGGCCCGGGTCTAGGGCAGGGCAGGTCAGAGCACTCACTGGGACAGAGGGTCTCTGTGTCACATGGCTTAGTCTCAGTTTCCCCACCAGAGCAGCTGCCCCCACACTTTGGGACTGGCTGGTCACAGGCCCTTCTGCGGCTCCGCACACCCCGGGCACAAGATACGGAGCATGCACTCCATGGTCCCCAGTCAGACCAACCACCAGCCTCTGAGAGATAGACACACAAGGGACCTGGGATCAGAAGCCAGGCTCCATTCCCCTATCCCTTCCCACCAGTGGCTTCCCTGGGCCTCACTTACCTGGGCAACAGTCCTGGTCCTGACATGCCTGTAGCTCCCAACGAAGGCTCCCAGGCTGCCCCTCCCCAGGGCACAGGCCTCCCTGGCCCAGGCAGCGTTGATGACGCAGCTGGGAACCCTCCGTGCAGGACACCGAACACGGGGACCAAGCAGACCAAGGTGACCAGCGAGGGGCCCTGGGGTGTGAAGGTGAGGTCACTGGGGTGACTGGGTCACCAAGCTTCATTGCCATCTGCATTTCTAGCTCTGCCTTCTGGTTGTCTGGTTGCTGGGCCATGCTCCTCTTCCCGCCCTTTCCTTTCCCCTCCCACCCCCCTGCACTGCCCATATACTCCCACAAAGAAGCTGGTGGAATCCTGGCCCAGACAGCCCCTCACCCGCAAGCCTGGCAGGTTGGGCTCCCTGGGATCTGGAAGCCGTGGGCAGCGTTGAGGCAGCAGGCATCCTTGCTGACACCCTCGCCCAGGAGCCCTTGGCATTGGCTGGAAGCCTCCTCAAAGTTGGAGAAGCAGTGCACAGACTCCCCGCCTACACCAAAGAACATAGCACACATGTCACCTACATTGCGGGGAGTTGAGGAGACTGGACTGAAAGGGTACGGGAATGCAGTGCCAGTCAGGGAATGTGGGCAGAGAGGAAGAAGAAGCAGACAGGGTCTATGCCAGGGACAGAGTCCAGGTTACCTGCCCTGTGGGGTGAGAGGAGAAGGACGAGGAGGAGGAGCTGCAGCAGCATGAGCCATGGACAGATGGGGCTGAAGGCCATGGTGACCGGTTGGAAGAGAAGGAGGGAGCTCCCAGGTTTTAAAGCTCTGCCTCCATCCCCTTTGCCCCCATCTCTGGGTCAGCCCCCTGACTCAGCAGAGAAAGAGGAAGTCAAGTCTCAAAGAGGAAGGAACTAGAGGAAGAAGGCTCGAATTGGCCCTTTCCCCAATGGGGCCCTGAGCTTCTGCCCAGCCCTGGTCCACTCTCAGTGCTCTCTCTATGTTCTATCTGTCTCTCTGTCTCCCTTCTCTCTTGCTGGGATGGAAGCCGCATTGACTGTCTCCTTCGGGCTTCCTCCCACAAGGTCAGCCTGTTTGAAAGGTTCCCAAGAGTGACCAGGTCAACAGCCTCAGCCACAAGGGAAGTGTTCTGGGGGATGGGAAAAGGGAAAAGTTGGGAAAGGGTCCCCCAGAGCCCTGAGCAGACTCTCCCTTTCAGCCCCTCTAGCCCCGCGTGTCTCCCCATAAAAGCTGGGCTCAAGGGCTCAGGCCAGAGCCACGAATCAATTCCAGAAACATTTGTGAAGTGCCAATAGGGGCGAGGCCCTGCACGAAGGTCTGAGGGGGTTACCAAAACAAGACCAAGAATCAATTCAGGTTCAGCTGAGGGGCCTGAGAACACCAGCAAGTGGAGAGATCAAGGGAGGTTTCCCAGGGGAACTGAACTGAGCCTCGTAGCTGAGGAGAGGAGGAGCACCTGGCCGGGGGCGGGGGGGGGGGGGGGGGGGGGGAGCATCAAGTCAACTGGCCAGCTGTGAAGAGGAGGAAGGCAACATAAAACATGAAAAAATGTTGGATGGAGGGCCTGAGAAATGAGGCTGAGGCCTTCACAGTTGATCCCAGAGACAGTCCTGGGCCTTCAGGAAATTCTTTTGGGAACTAGATGGAGGACAGATTGAGAGGCTATTAGAAAAGGCATGAGTGGAGAGAAGGGGATAGTCTCTTTGGGACCTGTTGAGACTGAGATGCAGATGAGCTGCCTGAGTGAGGTCCAGCAGGCCTGGAGCTCAAGAAAGACAATGAGGGTTAGGGTTTGAAAGATTTGTGAGTCATCTGTAAAGATGAGATGGAGTCCATAGGAGAGGGTCTCCCAAAGTGGGAAGACAAGAGAGCATGAGCCAGTACAGAGCCTGCAAAGGAGATAAGACAGGGCAGCACCAACCCAAGGTCAGGGGTCACTGGACTGTCTCATTGGGGTGTCGGCTCAGAAGCCACAAGGCAAAGGACTGAGGAGCTGGGGAAGCATAGGGCAGTGACTACAGATGACTTTCCCTAGGATTTGAGCTGGGAAAGAGAAAAGGCATGGGATAGTAGCTAGAGGGGATGGAAGGGCCAAGTGAAACTTGCTTTTGTTTTAACTCTGGGGGAGACTTGGACTCTTGGTAGGCTCCAGGAGGCACAAGGAGCCAAGATCAGAGACAGGGAGATGCATGGCCCACTGGAGAAAGAGGGGAAAGCATCAGGCTGAAGAAGACAGAGGTCTGATAGAGAATTAAGTCAAATTTATAAGAATACAAGTCATTCCCCAATTGATAAATGATCAAAGGATCTATAGTCATATGGAAAAATGCTCTAAATCACTATTGATTAAAGAAATGCAAATCAAAACGACTCTGAGGTACCATATCACACCTATCAGATTGGCCAACATGACAAAACAGGAAAATGATAAATGTTGGAGAGGATGTGGGAAAATTGGAACACTAATGCATTGTTGGGAGTTGTGAAATGATCCAACCATTTTGGAGAACAATTTGGAACTATGCCCAAAAGGCTATAAAAATGTGCATACCCTTTGACGCAGCAATAGCACTTCTAGGGCTATATCCTAAAGAGATCATACAAATGGGAAAAGGACCCACATGTACTAAAATATTTATAGCAGACCTTTCTGTGGTGGCAAAGAACTGGAAATTGGGGGGATGCCCATCCATTGGGGAATGGCTGAGCAAGTTGTGGTATATATGAATGTAATGGAATACTATTGTGCTATAAGAAATGACGAGCAAGCAGACTTCAGAAAAACCTGGAAAGACTTGTATGGTCTGATGCTGAGGGAAGTGAGCAGAACCAGAAGAACATTGTACACAGTAACAGCCACTTTGTGTGATGACTATCGTTGATAGACTTGGCTCTTCTCAGCAATACAAGGATCTAAGACATCACCAAAAGCCTCATGATGGAAAATGCTGTCCACACCCAAAGAGAGAACTATGGCGTTTGAATGCAGATCGAAGCAGACTATTTGCTATTTTTTTTATCTTCTGTTGAGTTTTGTTTCCTCTTTCTGGTGGTTCCTTCTATTCATTCTAATTCTTCCTTACAACATGACTAATGTAAAAATGTGTTTAATAGGAATGTAAATGTATAGCCTATATCAGATTGTGCACCGTCTTGGGGAGGGTGGTGGGGAGGAAGGGGGAGAAAAATTTAAAGTCAGAAGCTTCTGGAAGTGATTGTTGATAAAGCAAAATAAATTAATTAAAAAAAAATTTTTTTAAAGCAGAGGCCTGGAGAAGGCACTGAGGCTGGCAACTGAAGGACTGGCCTTGGGTAGTTGAAGCCACCTCTTCCTGCAACAGTGGGGGAGATAGAGATGAATGAGATGAATGTTGTCTGTAAAGGAAGAGATTCCATCCTCTGCCAAGGAGGAGGAGGAGGAAGTGGGATTGGTGCAGGCTCACCCTCATTGACATGCGAAAACAGGAATTTGTAGGAGACCTAGAGTCCAAAGCATTGTGTAACTAATTTCCTGCACTGATCAGCAGCTTGAGAGCTGGGCAGCAGCCAGATGGTGAGTGAGACCCAAGGCTCATGCCTGACTGGCATGAGCATCCCATGGACACAGGGTCAAGGGAAGACAATGCATCCTTGGAAGTGGAGAGCCATGGGATCTGCAGTGAAGGGAAGGGAGGCACACTGACCAAAACGGGAGTGAGGAGGAAGAGAGACTTAGGCTTGAGGTAGACAGAAAGAAGGTAGAAATACAGATTGTCATCAGAGAATTAGAAAGGTCTGAGGGTTTAGATGACCACGAGGGCTACAGTGCTTAGGTAGAGGTTAGGTTAGGCTGGGTATAGATGGAGTCAGGGATGAGACCGAGCCTGGACTCAGGCTTTGGAGTTTCGTCAAAGATCACGGCTCTGTGTCAGTGGGGTCATGGTTCCTTGTGGGACCAGGATCAGAAGCAAGGTTTGATCTGGGGTGAAGGCTCAATCTTGGATGAGGGTTGGGGCATCTAGGCCAGGCCTTACTAGGGTCAGTTCTTAACTCCCAAACCAAACCTCAGGGCTGAGTGGGGTGTCATTCTGGGGTTTGGCCTCAGTCCAGGGCAAAGGTCAGGGAATGTCTGAGGGGAGGTCTGGCCTCTAGTCTGCTGCCAGGGCTGAGCCTGTGGCTCAGATCAGGCTTTATGTGGCACCAGGAGATCCTTATACTTGGGATCAAGAATTCCATTTCCATTATACAAGCCCCTTATGACTATCACCAAGGTCACCAGGAGTCAATAGTGTGACATAGAAAAGCAGAGTGTGGGAGGGGGCGGGGGGTGACAGGCCCTAGGGGAGGACTGGCTACACTTCTGGGCACCACCTTTTGGGGTAGCCATTGAGGAAGCTGGAGAAAATGCAGAGGACAACCAGGAGGGTGACAAGCCACAAGGAGCAGCTGAAAGCGGTGCAGAGTAGGTTGATGTGGGGGGGGGGGAACGAGGTGGGATACCAATGGGCAGAATGAGTGGGGTTCAGGGTGCTTGCAAAGGCACAGATTTAGGCCAGCCATAGGGCAAGACTTGCCAACAATGAGACCCAGCCCAACAGGAATGGGCTGCCTCTGGAGAGAGAGCAGGCAGTCCTTCCCTCACTGGGAGCCTTCAAGCAGAAGCTAGAATACTTGGCAGGCACCTTGGACTAGATGCCTTGGATACGAGGTGTCAGGGCTCAGCTGAGGATCGGCTCTCCATGTGAGGCAGGTAAGGGCTAGAAGCAGGGTGCTGGTGGGTGCCCAGTTTGGGGCACTGTCTAGGGTGTGGAGGAGAGCCGGGTTGGAGACCAGGACTTTGTATGGTGGTGGTAGAGAGAGGGGCCTACTCTGAGGCTGGGCTCAGGGTCTGCTATTATTATGGCTGTGACTGAGGTTCAGTGGAAGACCATACTCAGACCTTTCTTAGGCCTCAGCTTGCAGTTGGGGCCTGGGTGAGGCCTCATTCTAGGACTAGGGTTGGCTGGCAGTTAGGGGCTAGGGGATTGTCTGGGTTTGAGGTCTAATACATTCAAGTCTCAGGATAAGGCTAAGTTCAAGGCTCAGTGCACACATCAGTACTGAGTGGTGTAAGAGATAGAGCCCTAGGCTGAGAGTCAGGAGGACCTGAGTTCAAATCTGACCTCAGACACTTATTACCTGTTTGACCCTGGGCAAATCATTTCCACTCTGTAAATCAGGGATAATAGTACCTCCCTCCCAGGGTTGTTGTCAGGGTCAAATGGGGGAATAATTGTAAAGCACTTATGTGCCTGGAATATAGTAAGTGCTATGTAAACGTTAGCTATCACATCTATATACAGGGATGTATGTGCATGTGTGCATATATATATGTATAGAAAATGTGTGTATGCATATGGTCACACCCAGAACTGCCACCACCTCCCCCCCAAACACCCTGGTGAAGGAGGGGGGACAAGAATTCAAAGCAACATCCCACCAGATCCCAGGTCCTTGGTATAAAAGAGAAACCCTCAGTGGGCTACCTGGTGAGAAGGGAAGACCCTTGGCCATGAACATGTGAAGAACCTTGTTCACAAAGCTACTGCCTCAAGTGGTAGCCCCACAGCTCAAGGCTGGCCTGTGGGGGCTGGCTCCCTGGCCAGGGCATCTATTCCAGTGAGCCCAGGCGGCAGATCAGAGGCCTCTCTCTGCCATCAGAAGGAAAACTTGGCCCGACTTTCACTCCCAATCACCAAGTCCAGGCTTAAAAAGGGAGAGGACAGCTCCTGACCACACCCAGGATAAGAGTCTGCCCTTCTGATCAAAGGAATGGACCTTGTCTTTCCATAGTCAAAGCAGTTCCTTCTGTTCAATATTTCCTGGACAGTAGCTGACCTTCTTTCCTTTCCTGGAAGTCAAGGCAGGGACATCACCCCATTCCTATGGGGGCGGGGAGAAGAGGGAAGACATTCTTCTACCGTCGGTTGTTCCCCTATAGTTTCGTTTGGTTTGGCTTGGGGTTTTTGTCAATGTGTTAGGCGTTTTAAAAGAAAAAAAGGAAAAAGCAGAGGGAGCTCCTAGCGGCTCCCCTCTGGGGTGAGTGGCTGGCTGGGGCCAAAGAAAGGGATGCTGGGGTTGGATCTTCCTCCTTTCCACTCCGCAAATCTGGGCCTCGGGGCACCTGAAAATAAAGAAACGCCCCTCCCCCACCTTCTACCTCCCTGCATTAAAATGGCCCTGGAAGAAAGCCAGTCGTGTTCAGGAGCAAGTGGGGTTAGGCAGCCAGGGGGCGCCACAGTGCGCAGAGCGCCGAGCCTGGGGGCAGAAAGCCCAGAGTTCAAATGTGACCTCAGGCACTTCCTAGCTGCGTGACCCTGGGTAAGTCACTTCACCTCTGCCTGCCTCGGTTTCCTCATCTGTAAAATGGGGATAAAAACAACACCTACCTCTCAGGGTTGTTGGGAGGATCAAATGAGATCATATTTGTAAAAGGGCTTAGAACAGTGCCTGGAGCATAATAGGTGCTCAATAACTGTTTATCCCCTCCCCTCCCCCCTATCCCGCTCCGGGCCATCCAGGGACCCACAGTCCTCCTTTGAATTAAAGCAGTCTTTTAAGTCCCTGGGAAAGAAAGAGTCATGGCTTCTGGGGACCTGGGGAGAGGACCACAGGGGTGGAGAGGCCGTCCATGCTGAGTGTGGGGACAGACACATGTGCCTGGGAGCTGCTGCTGCTGCTGCTGCTGCTGGCCGGAAACTGGGAGGAGAGAAAGACAGAGACAGAGACAGAGAGGAGAGTGAAAGAAAGAGTGAGTGTGAGAGAATGAGAGAGACGAGTGAGAGAATGAGAATGAGTAAAGACTGAGAGAGCCCGGAGATGAGAAGAGACAGACAGACAGACGGACGGACGGACGGACGGACTGACAGACCAGAGCCCACCAGAGGAAGCCGTGAGGAACAGACACACATAGACCTGGGTGGGGAGAAGTCGAGAAGACAAGAATTGACACGCCCCTCCAGGGGCCGCACCTGGAAGGAGAGGCGGGCAGGGCTGCGGGGCGCGATGGGGCTCAGGGTGCTCCAGAAGTGGATGCTGGGGGGCAGCGCACTGGGCGTCAGAAGCACCGGGGTCTGCGGTGGACGGGAGGAGGGCAAGGGACGCTGGAGCAAGCCCACTTAAGCCCCTCCCAGACCCACCGCCCCCCGGACCCGCCGCCCACCCCCCCGGCCCCCCGCCCCCCAACCCCACGCCCGACGGCTTCTCCGACTTACCAGGGCGTGGGAGGTGAGCAAAGAAGGCGTGAGTGCCTGGCCGAGGCCGGAAACCGCGGCCGGCTCGGGGCTCGGCCCCAGCGGCAACTCCAAATCGCGGGGTTTGCGACCCTTGGAGGGGGCTGGGGGGTGGGCCTTGGATTCTGGGGTCGGCGCGGGGGCGGGGCCCGGCGACTCGACGACCTCCAAGCCAGTCTCCATGACGACAGCAGTCCCCTCCTCCAGAGGCCGCTCCCCCTTCGATTCGGATGGAAGAATCAGAGATGCGGCTGTGGTCGAAGCCTCGGGCTCCCCGGCCTCCGCAACGCCTTCGGCAGGGGCCATTAGGATGACCTGACGGCGGAGAAGGAGAGGAAGCTTAGGACTGGCCGAGGGTCACCCTCCTCCCCGCCCCCCACCGGCTCCGGAGTCAAAGCCCCCCTCACACACACACCCCGCCCCCAGACAGCGACACACAAACACACATGCTAACCTGCAATGGCATTCGGGCCTCTGGGGCCTCAAGGCTGGCTGGGCTAAGTGGCTCCGGTACTGGCCGAGCAGGCCGGACTGGGCTTAGCTGCTGCAGGGACTGGATGGTGAAGGTGGAGTAGAGCCCAGAACGCATGTACTCATTCCGGCTGCTGCGCACAGGGGTGGGGGCAGAGGACCCAATGCTCCCTAGAGAGGCCTTCAGCGGCCGCAGGGGCTCTGGAGATATCTCAGCCCGGACCTGGCCCTCCTCCCCTTCGTGGCCTGGCCCCTCCGGGAAGGATACGAATTTGTAGACGAACTTCTGCCCACTCACCTTACGGATGATATTCTGGGAAAAGCGGGAATTTGGGGGGCAGAAGTGTTCAAGGGTAGGCCCAGCCCCTCCTCCCCCACCCCACAAAACCCCTCTCCCAGTGAGCAGGCCTTCCCAGGGTAAGCCAGGGCCCCCCTGAGCCAGGCCAGGCCGGGGGAAGCACACCTTGTCATAGTAGTACCGAAGCGCCCTGCTCAGCTTGTCGTAGTTCATGTTGGTCTTATTCTTTCGCAGACCCCAGAGCCGTGCCACTTCCTCAGCGTCTACCAGTTTGAATTCCCCGTCGCTAGATGTCCAGGCTATTAGGTGCCCATTACTCTGCTCCTTCAACAGCTGCAGCAGGAACTGCCACAGGGTCACAGATGGGTCCATCACTCCAGACACAAGGTCATGGGCCAGCCAGCTGGTTATCACGAAGGTGGGGAGAGAGAGAGGGCTATGGATGGTTCCAACACAACAATGAGGCAAAGTATAGGGGGAGCTGTGGGCCACTAGCCATCCCATGACTCCAAAGGGAGAAAGAGGGGCATGAAGACACAGGGGAAGAAGACACAAAGTACGGATATAGGGGTGAAATTGTCTGGGAGCACGGACATGGGGGTGAAACTAGGCCTATCCTGGTAGGGAGGGGATATGGGGAATTGGCACAGAATCAGGGCTTCACCCCTTATTACAGGTGCCACAAATAGAGCCATTAATTTGAAGATTAAGATGAAGGTACAGCCATGAGTTAGGCTTATTACTGTGGGTGGACAGCTTGGCCCACAGTCACAGACAGCCATAACGATAGAAAGACTTGGAGGATAGTCATTGAATGTTGAAGTTACAGGAGCACAGGACCACATAACCTGGTCCATCACTGCGAGAGGGGGCGGGGCGGATGGCACCATTACTGCAGAAAGGGCAACGTGAAGGACAGGATGTCTGGGGCGGCCTATTAGCATACAGGGGCAGGCGCCATGCAGAGGGACTACAGGATAGGGACAGAGGAGGTGGGTCCCTAACTCCTAAGGAATAAAAGCCGCAGCTACGGCCATTGCTGCCTACGGGTCGCATAGAAGGCCACAAATGGGTCCGTTCTCGGGCTATTACAGGCGCTAGGGGCCTCCAGGCCAGCCCTGTCTCCCTCCCCGCACAAATCACGCCCCCCCAAAAAAAATACAGAGAAGGCTCGCCCTTCCCCTGCAGATGCCCTCCCAATTCCCAGACTGTCCCTGCCTCACCTGTGAGCAACCCGATGGCAGCTCCGGGGAGCGAGGGCTCCATGGGGGAGTCCCAGCCCGGTAGCAGCCACCCTCCCGCCCCTAGCTCCTCCTTCTTCTGCTGACACCGATCCCCGGCCCCTGGCCACTCTGTAGCCTGTTATCCAGGCCCGGCCTGGCTTACACCCCCTCCCTCACTCCCCCTGCGATCTAAGCCTGCCCGGCCCAGAGCAGCCCGGAGCCAGCCCAGAACACCACCGGGATAGGAGAGCCGGGGCCTGGCTGACGTTAGTAATCACGTGGTAAGCGGAAATCTGAAGGGGCGGGGACCTGGAATCAGAGTAACCAAGGAGCCAAAGCTAAAGCCACTAAAGAAACGCATTGTGCGCCTGCGCAGAAATAACCCCAGCGCCGGGACAAGAACGTCTTCACGCAAAGTCTCCGCCCACAGAGGAGAGGGACTAGCTTGAATGCAACCAAAGAGGAACAAACAGCAAGAGACCTAGACAGTGGCTCTGCAACTGCAGAGAAGACAATGGTAGGGAGGTAGGATGCCCCATCTCCATGGCAACAAAGATTCCCCCCCCCAAGCCTCATTCCCAGCTTTTATTAAAGGGATTTCTGATTTCAAGTAACAGAGTTGGTGCCTCAGTAGCAGTCTTATTAGGGCAAGGAAATTCTCAGCATCCCCATCAGTGTCCTGGATCATTTGGTAGCTCCTGTAGTCCCTGCAGCTCCCGAAGGCCCTGGTAGAGAAGAGAGCACATAGGATCAGAAGAAGTTAGGTTCTAAACCGAGCTTTCACCTGGACAGACCTTCTGGCCCTCCTTCCCTCCTCACCTCTAGTACCAGTCGGATGTGGGCCTTGATCCTAACCGAATCTCGGGTGAGGCTGTCACTGAGCCTGGAAAAGGTGGCTAGAGCTTGTCAGAGTCCCTCTCTCCTCTGTTCCCCCCTCTACTTGTTCCCCCCAAACCCTGGGAAACCTACGAAGTGAGCAGGTGGCTCTTCCGATCAATGAACTTCAAGGCCTCCATCAATGTCAGTTCCAGGAAGAAGCCATAGCCGAGTGCCACAAATATCCGGGAAGGGTCTGGCCTGGAAGACAGAGGCTTTTCTCAAGGGGCTCCCTACGGACCTTGTGGCCCCTGTGGGGTCCCCCTGTATTTGGGATGGGCTCTGGGATGAGGAGGTAGGGTGGTCCTTATGGAACAAGGGTTTTTAAGCCAGTCTGTGAACTTAAAACAAAAAGCCCCCCTGCTATCTGAAATGTAATGGAACTGATCTCCTTTGGAGTCCCAAATATTCTATTTCATGCATTTAACAACTTTGCTGGGGGCAGGGGCCCATAGGCTTCCCTCCACACTGCTCCAGGGTCCAAGACAGCAGAAGCTTGAGCCTAAATCTACGATGATCCCCCGATTGGGGGGGGGACACTCACACTTCCGCATTCACGTAGAAGTTACACCCCAAATCCACCTGTGTGCGCAGCCTCTGATCCCCCGATTCCTGCGGGGGGGGGGGGTTGTGCTTAGCGGGCCGACCAGCCCTCCGACCCAAGGGCCGAGGCCCTCGAGCTCCGCTCCCCGCCCCGCCCCTCTCACCTGGAGCCGCTCCAGGACGTTCTTCAGCTGCAAGTAAGCCGCCAGCTGTCCGTACACCTCTTCTCGTTGCGCCAGCACCTGCCTGGGGTCAAGGCGGAGGGGATGTTTAGGGCCCCGCCCGCGGCCGGCCTCCCGCCACGCCCCCCCAGGCCCCAAGCCCCCTCGCACTTACCTCAAGTCTCGCTGCAGGACGTCGCTGACGAAGGTTTCATACTGCAGAACCTTTGCCTGAGCCCCCCGTGGGCCCGCCGCCATGCTGGCCACCCCACCCCCGCCGCAGCCCCGGCCGCTCGCCAGTCAATCCAGTCCAGCCACAGTGCCAGCAAAAGGACGCTTCTGATTTCCGGGAGTGAGCCGCAAGGGGAATGCCTCACTTCCTAGTGGTGTTACGTCACTTCCGGCACCGCGCTCCCCGCCCACTCTGTTACGCGCTTGGTTGCGTGATCCTAGGTTCGCAGATAGGCGGGCACTGCCAGGCTGCGAGCATGCGCAGAAGGCCCGAAGAAGCCGCTGTTTCCTCTGGCGCCAGAGAGCTGCGATTCTCTTGGTCTTGTGACCTTGTACTTTCGAACTTTTGCGCGGCTTTGGCCCGCGTCCCTGGGACGCTCTACACCACGGGCAGTCAATAGGACAGCAAGCATTCGTTAACTGTGTGCCAGGCACGGTGCGCGGTGCATTCTGGCTTCCCTCACTGCTTTCACATCTCAGTTCAAATCCAGCGTCCAGCAGGAAGCCTTTCCTCCCTGAGATTGCCTCCCATTGACTCTACTTTGTGTTGACCTAGTTGTTTGCTACTCCTCCCTCCCATAGGACTGTGACCTCCTTGAGAGCAGGAAGCCTGTTTGCCCGGGACTTAGCACAGTGCTTGGCACCCAGTGGGGCTTCATAAATGCACCGCTTGTCTCTATGTAATGGTGGAGGGTCTCTAAACACCCTCAAGGCCTTGGGTACCCAGGGCTCTCGAAGCAGTCTTTACTAGGACGAGTGATTTCATGCTAATTATTTCCCCCACCCCCTGGCACACTCACCCTCGATGTAGGCCGTTTTCTGAAGTGGAAGAGGTGAAGGTTCCACACTTCAGTGTTATCTGCCTTTTCCCCTCACTCAGCCTCAAAAGCCATTAATTGACAAGTCTTATTATTTCTACCTACACATTTCTTGCGGTAAAAAATATCGATATGTTTTGGGTGTTTTTGATACCACCAAAATTTCTCCTAGTATCTTTCTACTCCCAGAGAGCCATCCCATATAGCAAATAATGTTTTGTAAACAGGAGGGGAAAAGGGGAAATCAGCAAATGATCAATATGGGGGGGGGGAGTCTGAAAATCTATACACTGCACCATATACCTATGGACATCTCCCTGGTTGCAAGAATTTTCAGGGTCCTTGCTAGATATTTCAGGAATAAGTCAGCACAGCATACAGATAGACAGGTATGCTGCAGTCTATTCATCCACTCGAGAGTGTGACACATTCTATCAGTATGTGTTGGCTATATGTATCTCACAATTCCACAGATAACATATATACATATATATGTTATTTTATATATTTATTTATAATATACTTGTGTGTATGTAGATTATACCCAGATAGCATACAAAGCAGTTTGGGATCAGATCAGGTAGGGCAGTAGGCAGGAGAAGCCACTTTTATTAAGAAAATAAAAAGGGATGCTTAACCTATTAGCATAGCTATTTATACCAGACCAAAGCAAATAATATCTTCTTTATCAGTTTAACAAATTAACATTTGTTAAGCTCCTACAAGCTTTATTAGACAGGAGAAGGAGATGACTTCCTAGAAATATTCAAAGTCCAATGGATTATCTTTTGTAATCATAAAGTGGTTGGGGGAAGGGAGTTACTGAAGGAGACATTCAGTGTCACACAGAAAAAGAAAGAAATATAACAGAAAAATATGTCACAAAATGGAGTCAGTTACATTCTCCCCAAAGTCCATTTTTGACACCACTTTTGCAAAGGGGTAAGGGTGTCTCCTCATAGCTCTCCTCTGGAACCATGTTTGTTCTTTATTCACTTTTTATTGTTTTCTGGTTCTTTCGTTGTTGTAGTCATTCTGTAGCTTGTTCTCCCAACTCAGCTCACTTTTCTCTGCTTCAGTTCACAGAGATCTTTCCATGCTTCTGTGTATTCATCACATTGATCATTTCTTACAGCAGATAAACACTCCATGACATTCCCATACCACGATTTGTGAGGTTATTCTCCAGTGGATGGGCACCCACTTTGTTTTGTTAGGGAAATAGCCAATGGTTCCTTGACTTGCTGTCAATCATGCTTTTCAACAAGCAGAGAGCTAGGAGGTAAAACCAAGGTTTGTTTTATGTGCTTCAGTATAGGCCCAGAATTTAAAAATATCTATCAACCAGGAACAAAGATTTCCTAAAGTTTATGTCATTTCTAATTACATCAGAGAGACAAAGAATACAATTTTTGTATTATAGCTGCCACAAGGAGAGAGGAATTTATAGCCACTGACAGGAGAAAGTAAAGATTTACATGACAAATATTATGCTGGTGTGATTTATAGTTCAAAGATAACTGAAGAAGACAATCATATCAGATCTAGTTTATCAAAAAAGCACTAATGAGTGAGGAATCTGGGATGTACAGCCACTAGGTGGGTATCATGAATTCTTTCACCCCCATATGTTTTTTATCTAGATCAAAAGAACTGGGAGTCTTGTGAAAATCGTAGCCAGCTATGTGACTTTCCTTACGATTAAAGCAACTTAAATAATAATAGAGAAAAAGGAATAAAAAATTCCTACACCTCCTTATGGTCCCAGAAGTAAATGAAATACTTCTCTATGACCATCTTCTTATACATTGTCAATCTCCTTAACATTTCCACAGGCAGATAAAAGTATTGGACAACACTGAATACAGCAGCAAAACAATTTCCTTAATCCAGCTTTTTCCTGGCAACCGACCCCAAATGCTCATTTAAACAACATATTTCTTTTTCTATTATCATAAGTTAAGCTGTCCCATAAAGTCATCCTTTGGAAAGTCTGTGCTCAAATGGTCTGTCCGAGACCAGTGTTCACAAAGTGTCCAGTTCAGTTTAAATATTCTGATGTCCTTAATTAGAATGTCACTTGTTAACTGTAGCAGGAATAGATCTACTTCCCGAGTCCCAAGACACTGTGGAGAAGTAAGGCTGCTCAAATCTACTTGTTTGTCCTTTTTTTTTGGGGGGGGGCAACACAATAGGATGAAATGACTTGCCCAGAGTCACACAGTAAATGTCAAGTGTCTGAGGCCAGATCTGAACTCAGGTCTTCCTGCATCCAGGGCTGGTGCTCTATATCCACTGTGCCATCTAGCTGCTCCCTGTCCTTCATTTTTAAAGAGGTCCAATGACATCCCATAATGATGTCTTGACTGGTTCATGAATTGGACTAAAGTGAGGCAGTTTCACAAAGTTGTCAGCCTCACTCTCTCTTTCAGAGTCATCAGAATCCAGCAGGAAGACAAAAGTCTGCTAGCTATAAGACCTAGTAGAATTCAGTAGAACCTGACAAAATCTAATCATATTGGCCTTCCAGTAATTAGTCCATGTGGTGAAAGCCAGTTCAAACTTTCTGGTGCTAACCTTAAAAACAGCAGAGCTCCAAGAACTTCAAACTGGGCTACATAAAGTTCATCTCAAAGCCCAGAGAATTTCAGTCTTCACATACCACTTGCTGTCTTTAACTGAACCCTATACATGATATGGATAATGCTGTTTTTCCTTTGTTTCCAAAGACGATTAATGACATCACAGGTGATGTCTTAACTTGTGGGTAAAACGGATTTAAGTGAAGCAGAGCTGCACGGACTTTTCAGCCTCGCTGTCTCTTCCAGAGTCATCAAAGTCCAGTGGCGAGACAAAAGTTATGATGACTGGCAATGGACCAGGATACAGTGGATAACCTTGCCATCTCTGATGTCTGACCAAGCTTTAAGCATTCAACAATGTGTGCTTCAGCTGCCTTCATGCAATAAATTGTTCTCATCTGCCTCTTCTGGCAATGGACATTCCCCTAACTCACCAAGGGGTTTGAGACCTGTTGGTTACCCTCAGCCTGGTTTTACTAGGGTGTGGCCGCTGTGCATGCTATAGCTTCTGGGAGCCCCAGGTGAGAGCTGAATGCCAGATGGACACCAAAGGTGTCTCCACAGCAGAGGGGCTAGTCCTTCCTGAACACTCCTTCCATTAGCTTCATAAGGTTGTCTTCTTCACTTTTCCAGGTACTGACAATTATCTATAATATCATTCCCTCTGAACATTTTTGTTGGCATTTTCCTTTGAATGGTAGACAACTTTAAAGAGTTTAAGAATTCAAACAATTATACCTGGATTCAAAATGAGAGTAAGTCAAATTACAAATCCCAAAACATCCCATCTCACATAGCAAGTTTCAAGCAGGGTGCAGTTATTCCCCAAGTTAACAGCAATATCAGCACATTCATAAAAAATAACAATTAGTAAAAAATAATGAGTCTTAGTTTCTAAGAGTATATAATATCTTTCCAAATGCTTTCAGTTTTCCCGTTTAACACATCCTTAGGCAAAATCAGTCAATAAAAATTGAGAAAATAATAGGATTCTGGGATTTTACACAGAAAATATAAAAGTATGAGTTCATTCAAAATTCAGAGAAACTGGGCACATTTTACCTGGATCTTAATGGACTGCAAAGTGACTCCAAGGATGCAAGGGAAATCTTTTAAGCTTTGGCCCGGTGATCTAAAGTTGACTCAGACATAGTGCAGATATGATGGGCCCATCATTCAGTTTCAGAAGCTGAGATTTTTGCCCCTTTAACCAAAAAGAATTTGGCTCCCATTTGTCCAGAAACCCTTAAACTTTTCCTTATTGACTCCCCCTTATCTCCCTTTGAAAGCCCTAGCCCCACCTTTTGATCTTATGCATATGCCTTTCAAACTTCTTCCTTCCAGTTTCCTTCATTATCTATTCCCATTGTCTATTCAATCTCTCAGACCTTCCAATAGGAATTCTCACCTAGACCCTTTTCCCAGCCCCCTCCTCTGGCCACCCAAAGTTACTTTAGTGTATATAAGATCCATCCTGGCCCCCATTCAAATGCTGAGACTTTCTCTTGCCCAAAGGCTGAGATTTTGTCATGCCCGCTCATCCCTACGGGCATTACTAATGTTCAGATTCCTTAAGAGTCTGACCTATATGGTTATCTCTAATAAACTTTTTCTCTGGCTGAAAGAAGATTTGGGTCTAATTCATTCAGGCAGGACCTGTGTTGAGATCTCAGGGGTCCCAGCACCCCTAAACCTCTACACCTCACCAGATATATCAGTCAAATTACAATTC